GGCATTCCTGGAGAAACAATAAGGGATTTGTTTAAACCAAGATGCCAAACGGTCATGAATTGCAGAATATATATTTTTAAACAAGTTATTTTCCCCCGCTGTAACATCCAGAATTCAGATCTGCATGAGGGGCCAGCTGGCAGCAGCACGCAGGCCCTGACTGGCTACCCGGGACTGCTCGTTTACCTTGCCCTCCCCTGGGGGAGGGGAGGCGGGTGATGGCAGAGCTGCTTTTATATGGTTATGTTCCAACTTCCATCCAGCCATTCTTGGTCTGGAGCTTTGCAAGTGTTTATACTCACACCCACATGTATAAGCTGCCCCAGAGCCCTCCTACTTGGATTTTCCTTTTAAAGTGAAGCCATCTTCGTGCCCTGCTCTGGTGGTTGACCAATTCGTAAGGAATTCTTACCAAGTCGTCATGCACAGAGCAAGAGACCATGAGCTGTGAGTCTGTCCAGAAAGGGACCAAATGTCCAGCCATGTGCTACAGAGCACATGGGGCCGCCGCTGGAAAGGCTGATTTTGTCCCTGGGGGACGGAATCTGTGGAAACAGGGGGCCATAACCACTTTACCAAGGTTCTGGGTCGGCACTCCGCAAAGGCCCAGGCAGTCTGCACAAGGCCCTGGGGCACTTCTTAGGTCAAGGTCGAAGCCACAGCCGCCTCTGCTTCCCTGGGAGTGCCGCTGCTCAAGAGGAACCCCACAAGCTCAATGCCAAGGCTTTGCCTTTCCCTCCATGAAAGCTCACCTGCCTTTTCAGAGGACTCCCAGGGAGCCTCCCACACCCCCTGAGGCCCTCATATTTTTCCATCTTTCTATTAGGCATCTTTTTCTCATTAATGTACTAACACTCAAGTTATGTGTACAGAATGAGGAAAAAGGGACCTTGTGTGGGGCTTGGGATTTGTTCAAAGCCTGAAGAAACCGTTTTAGAGGGTGTATGTTTTTTATTCCTTTTATGAGAGATGCATGTTTCCCCCCTTCTGTGACTTGTTTAAAAGTAAAGTTTAATATGCTGCCAGAGGAATTGCTGGTTAATAACTTAATAAGCAATGTGCTAGGAATTATGGGAGAAAAGTATTATCCAAGAAAACTTTTATTGTACAGTTTAGGGCTTGGAGGATATATAGCTTCGGTTATTATATAAAATGCTAACAGAAGTCCCCTTTCTTTTCAACCTTACTTTCTCCCTAGAATTATTAAAAAAGGATATATTAAGTGAGGTGAATGAACACTTCTAGAAGCTGCATGAGAAGTCTGCATGTAGATCACAGGTGAGAATTTCTAACAGTACAGTCAGAACTTTGCTAATGTGAACCTGGCAAAGCACACACTTGGAAATTAGCCTTGGCAATAATAATAATATCAACGGCATTTTATTAAAAGTTTTATCTTCGGGCTTCCCCGGTGGCGCAGTGGTTGAGAGTCCGCCTGCCGATGCAGGGGACACGGGTTCGTGCCCCGGTCCGGGAGGATCCCACATGCCGCGGAGTGGCTGGGGCCGTGAGCCGTGGACGCTGAGCCTGCGCATCCCGAGCCTGTGCTCCGCAACGGGAGAGGCTACAACAGTGAGAGGCCCGCGTACCGCAAAAAAAGAAAAAAAAAAAAGTTTTATCGTCGAAAAATATTTTATCTTTAAAAGATTCTTAAGAGAGAAGAAAAGTAGGCATTATTATTCCCATTTTTATAAATCAACAAGGTAGCTCATACAGCTCAAGTGACCTATCCAAGATCGGGGCAAAAACCAAGAATAGAACCAAGGTTTTCTAGACAAATTGCATCCGTGTGTCCCAAACACAATCAGATGAAAAGTGAGACCCTGTGCCAAACAATTAGGGTATTTCGGTTTGCAGCCACGCACTCTGGTGCTGTGTCCTGGTCACCAGTGTGGTGAAGAGCAAGGCTCTGAGCACAGCTGTTTCAACATGGCCGATGATGCAGACAAAGACTTAGCTATCTGACAATAAATATTCCCTATATTTGCTTAGCTCTTTTGTAACTGCATACCCATTACTCACCATGTCCTTCCCCACCCTCACCTACTGCACATTTTGGAGCTTCCAACTTTACAGATAAAAACTGAAGCCCAAAGAAGTTCAAGGCCACACATCACTGGTTAGTACTTGAGCAGGTGCCAGAACCCAGACCTACTACCCGCGAGTGCACCCTGCCTCCCTCAACCTCAGGGAGGTGCGTTCACAGCTAGAGGCTTTTCCACTCACCCAGTGCCTCTCCAAGTGACCCTCCCTGTGGTCACCCAGGAACACAGGGCCTTTGGGCTAGTGAGGGTCCCCTCCAGCTCAAGGGGGAATAAGCTCCTGAACGTGCATGGGAAGCTATTTCCAGAGGCCTGCAGGCCAGTCTAGTCGCTGGGGAAGCCTGGGCATCACTGGCAGCTGAGGGGAAGGACGACAATGAGGCTTCAGAGGGTCTCTCTCAAGTCCGCTCCCTTGGCCCATTCATGTGAGACCTGCCCACACGCCCCACAAGCCTTCCTAGGGTCAGCCCGAAGCTGGCCATATAGGACAAACGCACCAAGGCTAAGTCAGCTCAGTATGAGGACAGAGAAGCAGGAAGCCAAGTGAGGCCTCAACAAGTGCTCCCTCCAGGTCTGTGTGCTGCCTGAAAGCCTGCCCCCAAGTTACTGACTTGAGTTAAAGGCATTGCCTCCAGAAGATCACTACTGAAAAACAGTTGTACTACCCAGAAGAATTAACTTATTTACACATTAGCACTTGGTAACATGTGAGCATGATTTGTTGGTCATACCAAGTGGCAGTCAGCCAGCTGACAGTGGATTTCTGAGGAAAGGGGAATCTAGAATAGCAAAGTTTTGATGGCAGTAAGGTCTAGTGCATGGTGCCCTCCCTATCCATGGAGGGCAGCTTAAGGGCCTGGGGTTGTGGTATTTTCTGTGAGGATGATCAGGCTGCAGCAGAGGAAGCAAGAGAATCAAGAGGCAGGAAACAAATTTGCTATTTCTTGAATACATCCTTAATTTGGGCTATCTTCGGAGCCAGACACATCTGTCAAGTAGGAAGAAGTCACTTGCACCCTTGTGTCTATTTTCCTGTCTACAGATAGTGGTTTGGATTAGATCCCTGTTTTGAAATAGGGAGTCAGGGTGCTCTCTGGAGTCCCTTTTGGGGCTCCCAATGGCTGAGAAGCTATGTGGGTGGGCCTCCAGGCCCCTATCTCAACTTGCAACGTATTTGCCATCTCTATTATCTTGAACATCTTGAACTTCCACGTAAGCTTCTGTTTGAAGAAAGGATTCCACTGGATTAGATGATCTCTAAATTCCCTTTCCTGCTATAAACGCTGTGGTTCTACGGTCTTCTTAGCAATGTTGAACAGACAATAGCCATGAAGTCTAAAATGCACACAAGCAGCATCTCTATTCCCAACACTAGCTGCCCAGGCAGGCCACAGGGGCCTCCAAGTGCCAGACAAAGCTGGTGGATTGCTACTAGGGAGCTTTTGTTAACCTCCCCGAGGGGCTGGAGATTTTGTCGATCACTGAGAGAGGCTGGAAAGATTTAACACACCCCTCAGTGTATCTCATGAGCATGGAGACAGCAGCCTATTTACCAGTGTAAGCCTGAGCTTACTGACTTCCTCTTAACTCTTGGATCAGATCCAAATTCCTCTGGCTGACATTTAAGGCCTGCCACAACTGGTCTCTTATCAAATCTTGCACTGCTCTCCAAACACACCACGTCTTCTCCAGCTCTAATCCCCCACTGGCCCACATGCAAATGCCTTCTGCAACAGTGTGCCACTGTACATACTGTCCACCATCTTGATATGCTCTTTCCCCACCACTTCTGGTGTTTCCAAATCACACCCATGCTCTAAGACCCTACTCAAATACCCAACTCCCCCAGAAAGCCTTCCCTGGCTATCCCAGTCCACATTCTTTTTTGAATTCGTATACTTATTATATGTACTACAGAGTTAGAATTCTACATGAATGTCATTGTTGGTTGTTTCACATGGATAAGCTCTTTTCAACTAGACTGGATCATAGCTAAACTTTGACAATAATAGAGACTTAATTATATATGCCTAGGTGGTCCCCATGATGCTGAGCACTGTACTAAGATTCCTTCCTTTGTACTTGGGCAATGGGACCTTCACAACTTACTTAGC